ACCTTTCCGGTCAACGAGTGGAATGACGTTATGTCGGTCAATCTGACGGGCGCGATGCTGTGTGCCCAGGTTTTTGGCAGCCCGATGGCCAGGCGCGGTTCAGGAAGCATCGTGAACACGCTTTCCATATACGGCATCGTGGCGCCGGATCAGCGGATTTACGAAGGCTCCGAATATATGGGTCGTGCAATCAACACGCCAGCCATCTACGCGGCAAGCAAGGCTGGCTTGTGGGGGCTGACAAAATATCTTGCGGCGTATTGGGGCCACCGAGGTGTACGTGTGAATGCCATCACTCCGGGCGGTGTTTTCAGTGGACAGAACGACACCTTTGTAGAGAATTATTCCCGCCGGGCACCGCTGGGCCGCATGGCTGAAGCTGACGATATGGTTCAGGCCATGCGTTACCTGACCAGCGACGCTGCCAAATATGTGACGGGTCACAACCTGGTTGTTGATGGCGGGTGGACGGCGTGGTGAACGATCATGTCTTCGTGATTGCCGAAGCGGGCGTTAATCACAACGGAGATATTTCACTCGCATTACAGCTATGTGACGCCGCCAAAAGGGCAGGTGCCGATGCCGTGAAATTCCAGACCTTCCGCGCTGAAGACCTGGTAGTGCGTGGCGCCCCCACGGCAAAATACCAGGAGCGCCAGACGGGCGTCCAGGACCAGTTCCTGATGCTTGAGAAGCTGGAGTTATCGCAGCAGCAGCATGAGCTGATCAAGGCTCACTGCGAGGCCATCGGGATTGAATTTTTCTCCACGCCGTTTTCGGTGGCTGCAGTGGACATGCTGGTGGGCCTCGGGGTACGGCGGCTCAAACTGTCTTCAGGAGAGCTTACCCATCGTGCGCTTGTGGAGCATGCGGCTGCCACCCGGTTGCCGCTTCTGATGTCTACCGGCATGGGGACCATGGAAGAAATCAGCGAGGCCGTCGAATGGATTCAGGCGGTACGCGGCACCTTGAAGGACGTTGTTGTCCTTCATTGCACATCGGCATACCCGGCACCTGACGGGACACTTAACTTGCGCGCCATGGTGAGTATGGCCAGCAATCTGGGTGTGGCGACAGGTTATTCGGACCACAGCCTGGGCATTGAAGCTCCACTGGCTGCTGTGGCACTTGGCGCCGTGGTGATTGAAAAGCATCTGACGCTTGACCGGGACATGCCAGGTCCTGATCACAGTGCATCTCTTGAACCTACAGAGTTCGCGCAGATGGTCAGCGGCATACGCCGGGTCAGCGCCATGCTCGGTGATGGCATCAAGGCGCCGCTCTCCGAGGAGCTTGATACCGCCAAGGTGGCGCGACGCAGCGTCGTGGCAGCGGTGGATATTGCAGCCGGAGAAGTCATCACTGCGGAAAAACTGCTTTGCCGGAGGCCAGCCACTGGCATTGAACCCCGCTATCTGCCTGAGTTGCCTGGCCGCCTCGCAGCTGTGG